AATCTAGTTCCTTTGTCCTTTCAACATGTCTTAATTTTTGAGCATCTCCTCACTTAAAAAAATGGTACAAAAAATGTACCAGACTGAACAAGAAAAAAAGAAGACATAAAATGCTATAATTAAAGAAGGTTTGTTGCTTCAGCTCTTACAGTCATTAAAAGGTTAGTAAGGAGATACTATGAATAGCTTTATGCCAATATATGTGTTAACACAGGTGAAATGGAAAGATTCAACTTTATTGATCTTTTCAAAGAACTGGATTTGTGTTTTATTGATTCTCTCTGTTTTTCTTTTATTGATATTTCTAGTTAAATATAAAGGCATACTATTTTTTTCTTGTATATCTTTTACTGAAAATCTTGATTCCTTGTAATATTAACATAATTATTTATTGCTGGGACTATAGCTGAGTGGTAGACCATATGCTTATCATATGCAAAAAACCCTGAGTCAGTTCTCACCAAATATTATAATTATTTATTAGCCCCATATTACTATATATAGAAAATGGTTTTCAAATAATAATACAGATAGTATTACAGAATGAAGTTAAAAGTTTGTTTGCACTTCTTTTTGTATTAGAATATGTACCAGTAAAGTTATCCAGATTTCAGTATTATAATTTCACATCAAGTAGTTATTTTCTCTATGTAATAATATCACTTAATATAAAATAAGGTTAATTTGTTCAAATTTGTTTTCAATTTTGTCTTTAAAAATATTTAAGTTAATTTTGAATGTACATGTACATGTTTCAAAAGCCAAAGGTATATTATTTATTTTTATATTTTCCATTTTAAAATACATATTTAACCTATGCAAAGTTTACAACATTTTATTTTAGTGTTAATGTACCTAGACATAATATATATGGTATACTATTATAGCATTAAGGATAGGGCAGGGTGTTACGTCTGGATGTGAGGTACCCCTCAAAAGCTCATGTGTAATACAATGCAAGAAGGTTTAGAGGAGAAATGATTGGGTTGTGAGAGCCTTAACCCAATCAGTGAATTAATCCCTTGATGGGATTTGCTGAGTGGTAACTGAAGGGAAGAAGGATGTGGTTGGAAGAGGTATGTCCCTGGGAGGTGTGCCTTTGGGGTATGTATTTTGTATCTGGCAAGGAGAGCCTGTCTCTCTGCTTCTTGATCATCAGGTGGGCTGCTTCTCCCTGCCACACTCTTCTGCCATGATGTTCAAGTTTACCTGGAACGCCAAGGAATGGAGCATACTGACTGAGACCTCTGAAACTGTGGCCCCCAAATAAACTTTTCCTCTTCTACAATTGTTCTTGCCAGGTCTTTTAGTCATAGCAGTGAAAAAGTTGACTAAAACACAGGGACAAAAAAATACTTGTAATTTCTTACATTTTATGTAAAGCAATACAATATTAACTGTAAGTAGACTGGAAATTAGGAATGTATACTACTTAAAGATACAAATGTGAATGGATAAGTTAAAATAGAATTTTATTGTATTTTTTCCATATTTTATGGGTGCATTACAGTTATATATAATGGTGTGATTCATTGTTAGATACCTGTGCACACACACAATATAACAATATATTTGTGCAGATCATTCCCCAGCATTTTATTTTTCCCTCCACTACTCCCTTTCCTTAGTTTCTTTCCTCTAATCTAGTGATTTATCTTCAATTTTCATGAGACCCCCCCTTTCTTTTTCTTTTTCTTCTCTAACTTCTGTATGAGAGAAAACATATAACCCTTGACTTTATGAGTTTGGCTTATTTTGCTTAAAAATGTTTTCAAGTTCCATCCATTTTCCTGCAAATAACATAATTTCATTCTTTTTTAATGGGTGAACAAAACTCCATTGTGTGTATAACATATTTTATGTATCCATTCATTCCTAGGCTGGTTCCATAGTTTGGCAATTGTAAACTGTGCTACTATAAACATGGGTATTCGTATATCAATATAGTTTGCTGACTTTAATTCTTTAGGATAAATATTGAGGAGTGGTATAGTTGAGTCATATGGTGATTCCACTCCTAGGCATTTGAGAAACTGATATACTGATTTCCATAGTGGTTATTCTAGTTTACAACCCCATCATAAAGTGTTCTTTTTTCTCCACATTCTCTTTAGTATTTATTATTGTCTGTAATCTTTTAATTTCTTTTTTTATTTTGATACTGGGGATTGAACCCATGGGTTCTTAACCACTGAGCCACATCCCCAGCCCTTTATATATTTTATTTGAGACAGGGTCTCACTGAGTTGCTTAGGGCCTTGCTGAGGCTGACCTTGAACTCATGATCCTCCTGCCTCAGCCTCCCAAATTGCTAGGATTACAGGCATGCATCAGCACACCCAGCTATTGTTTGCATTCTTGATGGCTACCATTCTAACTAGAGATGAATCTCAGTGTAGTTTTGATATGCATTTCCTAAATTGCTAATGATATTGAACATTTTTTCATATATTTGTTGGCCATTTGTATTTCTTCATTTGAGAGGTGTCTGTTTAGTTCATTTGCCCATTTATTGATTGGGGTTTTTGTTTTTGGTGTTAAGTTTTTTGGGTTCTTTATATATTTTAGATATTGTCAGAAGAGTAGCTGGCAAAGATTTTCTCCTATTTTGTAGGTTCTCTCTTCACATTCCTAATTGTTTACTTTGCTGTAGGGAAGCTTTTTTATTTGATGCCATCCCATTTATTAACACTTGGTATTATTTCCTGAGCTTATTCTTCTATATATGGATAACCAGTTTTCCCAGCACCATTTGCTGTGTCTTTTCTCCAAACATGTTTCTTGCTATGTTTGTCGAGGATCAGATGAGTATATCTTGTGTAGGTTTGTCTCTGTGTTTTCTATTCTATACCATTGGTCTACGTTTCTGTTCTTATGTCAGTACCATGCAGTTTTGGTTACTATAGCTCTACAGTATGATTTGAAGTCAAGTATTGTGATGCTTCCAGCATTGCTTTTTGGCTTAAAATTAGTTTGGCTCTTCTGGGTCTTTTATTCTGTAGAAGGGAAATTTAGGACTGTTTTTTTTTTTTTGTAGTTCTGTGAAGAATTTCATTGATATTTTGATGGGGATTACATTGAATCTGTATATTGCTTTTGGGAATAGGGCCAATTTAATGATATAAATTCTATCTATCCATGAACATGGAAGGTCTTTCTATTTTGTATCTTCTTCAGTTTCTTTTACACTGTTCTAGAGTTTTCATTGTAGAGGGCTTTTACCCCCTTGGTTACATTTATCCCTAGATAGTTTATTTTTGCAGCTATTATGAATGGGACTATTTTCCTGATTTCTTTCTTGGCTTATTTATTATTGGCATATAGGAAAGTTATTAATTTTTTGTATATTGATTTTGTGAGCTGCTACTTTGCTGATTTGTTTATTAGCTCTAGCGGTCTTTTGGTAGAGCTTTTTGAATCTTCTAAGTATAGGATCATATCATCTGCAAACAGTAATAATTTGTTTTCTTTTTATCATTTTTATTTCTTTCTCTTGTCTGATTTCTCTGGCTAGAATTTCTAGTATTGTATTGAATATGAATAGTGAGAGTGGATATTCTTATCCCATCCCATATTTTAAAGGAAATACTTTTAGTTTTTCCCCATTCACTATGATGTTGGCTTTGGTTATGTTGTACATATACTTTATGATGTTGAGTAAGTTCCTCCTATCCCTAGTTTCTTCAGCATATTTATCATGAACAAGTGCTGGATTTTGTCAAAACTTTCTCTACATTTATTGAGATGACTATGATTTTTGTTCTTAATTCTGTTTATGTAGTGAGTTACATTTATTGATTTGCATATGTTAAACCATCCTTCCAGCCCTGGAATGAAACCAACTTGGTTTCATTATGTATAATCTTCTTGGGCATTATGTATAATCTTCTTAATATGTTGTTTGTTGAATTTGATTTGCTAATGTTATATTAAGTATTTTTGCATCTAAGTTCATCTGATTTGGGTCTGTAGTTTTCTTTCCTGTATGTGTCCTTATCTGGTTTTTGTATAAGTGTAATCCTGGCCTCATAGAATGAATTTGGAAGTGTTTCATCCCTTTCTATTCCATGGAATAATTTGGGGAGCATTGATATCAGTTCTTTTTGAAAGGTCTAATTGAATTCAGCTGAGAATCCATCTGGTCCTGGATTTTTCTTGTTGGAAGGCTTTTTATTACTGCTTCTGTCTCATTACTAGTTATTGATCTGTTTAGGTTTTCTATGTCCTCTTGATTCAATTTGACAAGTCATATGTTTCTAGAAATGGTTTGATTTCTTCTAGGTTTTCCAATTTATTGGAGTCTAAGTTTTAAAAATAGTCCCTAATAATCCTCTGGATTTCTGTGTTATCTGTGGTGATTTCTCTTTTTTCATCTCTAATTTTATTAATTTGGATCTTCTCTCTTTTGATTAAGGGCTATACACGTTATTTATCTTTTCAAAAGAACTTATATATTTTAATTCTCTCTATTTTGTTGATTTTGGCTCTGATCTTAATTATTTCCTTTGTACTGGTTTTGGAATTGGTTCTTGTTTTTCACAGAACTTGAGGTACATCATTAGGTTTATTACTTGAGATTTTTCTGATTTTCTTACGTAGGCATTCATAATTATAAACTTTCATTTTAGAACTGCCTTTATTGTGTCCCTGGAGTTCTAGTATGTTGTATCCCTATTCTTGTTTTAAGAATTTTTAAATTTCTCCACAACTTCTTCTATTACCCATTTATTTTTCAGTCTCCAGGTGTTTATATGGTTTCTTTGGGGGGGGTGATTTTTAATTTCATTCCATTATTACAAGGAATAATATCAGTTCTTTGATTTGTTTTCTGAATTTGCTAAAAGTTGCTTTGTGGTCTAAAATGTGGTCTGTTTTGGAGAAGGTTCCATGAGCTGCTAAGAAGAAAGTGTATTCAGCTGTTGGTAGATGTTAATTTTTATAGAAGTCTGTTAAGTCCATTTGATTTATAATATTTTTTAGGTTCCAAGAGTCTTTACTGAGTGCTTGCTTCAGCAGCACATATACTAAAATTGAATGATATAGAGAAGCTTAGCATGACCCCTGCACAAAGATGACAAGCAGATTTGTGAATTGTTCCATATTTTTTAAACTAAAAAGCTTCTTTACAGCAAAGAAAATAATTGAGAATGTGAAGAGAGAAAAAATCTGCCACCAGCACCTCAGATAGAGCATTACTCTACAGGATATATAAAGAACTCAAAACATTTAACACCAAAAAACCCAATTAATAAATGGGCAAAGGAACTGAACAGGCACTTTGCAGAAGAAGAAATACCATCAGTCAACAAATATATGAAAAAATGTTCAATATCCGTAGCAATTAGAGAAATGCAAATTAAAACTACACTGAGATTTCATCTTACTCAAGTCAGAACAGCAATAATCAAGAATACAAGTAACAATAAATGTTGGCAAGAATGAGGGGGGAAAGGTATACTCATACATTGCTGGTGGGACTGCAAATTGGTGCAGCTAATCTGGAAAGCAGTACGGAGATTCCTTGGAAAACTCACCTAGGTGTCCTGGGGGAGGGCTCCTATACCGCTGCATCCAGGGTAGCAGAGACTCTCCCCTCCAGGCGAGAGACCCTTCCCAATTGGGTGTAGGGGGGAGCTCTTATACCACTGCAACCAGGGTATAGGGGACTCGCCCCTCCAAGGTGGGAGACCCATCCCACCTGGTGTCTGGGGGAGCTCTTATACCACTGCAGCCAGGCTAGAGGGTGTCTATTTTATATAATTATGTGCACAAACATTTGGGGCATAATTACTTATTATTGTTATATCTTTCTATTGGATCATTCCCTTTACCAGAATGAAGTGACTTTCTTTGTCTCTTGATTAATTTTGGCTTGAAGTCTGCTTTGTTAGATATGACAGTAGCTATTCCTACTTGTTTTTAAGCTCCTTTTGCATGATGTATTAATTTCCATCTTTTTACTTTTAGCCTGTTGTTGTCCTTGCTTATAAGTAGAGTGTCTTGCAAACAATATATAGTTGAGTCTTGTTTTTTTTATCCATTCTGCCAACCTATGTCTTTTCATTCCAAAACTATATTTTAAAAAGTATATTCAGAAGTCTCTTTTGTATCCCTGTCTTTTCCCTTTGTCTCCCACACTCAAGAGTTCATCATTTTGATAAGTTTCTGGCTTATTCTAGGGATACTGTTTGAAAGTACACACATGTGTAAATACATGCATATGTGTGTATGTATTCTTATTTTTTCTCCTTGCTCACACAAAATATACTACAAACACTGTTCAGGCCACAGTAGCACACGTCTATAACCCCAGCTACTCAGAAGATTGAGCTAGGAGGATCATGAATTCAAGTCTAGCCTGAGCAACATAGCAAGAACCTGTCTTAAAAGACAATTTTTTAAAAGACAGAAACAAATTTTAAACAATGTTCTACATTTTGCTCTATAAACTTAGTGATATGTTCTGGAAATTAATCTGTGTCAGTGTATGGGGACTGTAGTGGGTGTAATTCTTTCCCCGCAAGGATATATCCATCTAGTACCTGAGAATGTGGCTTTATTTGGAATAAAGGTCTTTGTAGATGTAGTTAAGAATCTTGAGATGAGATCATTCTGGATTGAGGTGAACACAAAATGTAAACACGAGTGTCTTTATAAAAGAAAAGAGGGGCTGGGGTTGTGGCTCAGTGATAGAGTGCTCACCTAGCATGTATGAAGCACTGCATTTGATCCTTAGCACCATATAAAAATAAATAAAATAAAGGTATTGTGTCCATCTTCAACTAAAAAAAATTAAAAAGAAAAAGAAAAGATATATGAGACACAGGAAGACCATGTGAAGATAAAAGAGATTAAAATGGCACCGTTACATGCTAAAGAATATCAAGGATTATATCAGATGCAAGGAGGGAAGTATAAAACAATTTCCCTTTCAAAGCCCCAAGGAACCATCCCACTGGGCATGGTGGTGGTCTTCTGTAATCCCAGCTGCTCAGTAGGCTAAGACAGGAAGATCACAAGTTTAAGGCCAGCCTTAGCAATTTAGCCAGGCCCCCAGCAACTTAGTGAGATCCTATCTCAAAATAAAAAATAAAAAAGCTGGGAATGTGGCTCAGTGTTTGAGCACCCAGGTTCAATCCCTGGTACCAAAAAGAAAAAAAAAAAGGAGCTATCCATCCCTGCTGATATGTTGATTTTGGACTTCTGATTTCCAGAACTCTAACAGAATAACTTTCTTCTTTTTTTTAATATTTTGCTTTAGTTGTAGTTGGAAACAATACCTTTATTTCATTTGTAGGTGGTGCTGAGGATCGAACCCAGTGCCCCACGTGCTAGGTGAGCACTCTACCTCTGAGCCACAACCCCAGCCCCATAATTTTCTTTTTTCATCCATAAAGTTTGTAGTAATTTGGTACAGCAGCCATGTAAACTAATACAGAGATTCTCATACTTTTTTTAATGACAATATAATATCCCTTGTGTGGATGTACAGTGGTTTATTCAGTCTGTTCTCATTGATGGATATGTGTATAAATAATTCTCAGTAAATAACCTTATGTTTATTATTTCAAATCTGTTCTGATATAATTTACATTTGATTCTTAGAAGTGGAATTGCTGAATCAAAATGTAAAAGCATTTGCCTTTTTGCTAGATAATGCCAAATTCCCCTCTATAGGGGCTGAAACATTTTGCACTCCCACCAGCAATGAATAAGTGTGCCTATGTTCCCACAGTCTCACCAACAGAGTGCATTTTGAAACTTGAATTTTTGCCAGATAAACAAGAAATAGTATCTCAGTGCAGTTGTGATTTGCATTTCCTTTATTATGAGTGAAGTTGAGCATTTTTTCATGTATTTTAAATTCATTGCTTTTCTTTTCTATGAACCCTCTGATCATGTTTCTTAGGTATTTTTGTGTTCTTTCCTTCTCGATTGTTAAGAACTTTTGCATGTAACTATAATTTGCATACTGTTATTTGTTATATTTCTTTTGACTATGTGGAGTTTTTTTACCTATGAAATTTTCCCCTCAGTTTTTAACAAAGGATGGTTGATGTTTCCTAGCCTAAGGAGCTTTCCTTGCCTATATCCTTTTCCCAGTCTGTGTTGAGCTATATCCTACTTTGAATCATTGCTTGCCAATGTCTGACTCCTTCTTTCTATCAGCATTTCTTGATTAGAACCAGCGTAGCTGCTATAACTTCTCTCACTCCTTTTACATTTTATGTTTTAGATTGATTTCCTCAAAAAGCAGAGGCAGAGGTAGAGGGCATATATGTTGTTACTGCACTGGGCACATGAAGTAGAGAAGGACAGAGAACCAATACAATGGTGTGTTAGCAAACTGGCTGCCTCTGAGTGCAGATTGATTGCTCAGTCTGTGAGAGTGTGTCCCAAAGAAGCTCTGTCAACCCTGCCTCAGGACTTCCCTGGCTGGTGGAGACAGGAGGAAGTTGGGGGTGGAGGGTTAGGACAACAAAGAAAGGGGAATGGATTTATCTGTTAGCTCCTGTCTCTCAGATGGAGGTTTGACCCTCAAATATTTGCTAATTAACCAGTCTTCAAATCCAAACTCTTTTTTTTGTATTTAAATGATTCCATATATATATTTTATAAGATATATCATAATTACATTTATATTTTGTTTACATTGCAAACATTAATAGTTTTCTCAATTGGACTTGCATTGTTTATTGCTTTATAGATATGTAAAATAGGCATATTGATCTTTTATATTGATTCTTTTTAGTTATGCATAACATTAGGATTCATTTTGACAAGGTTATAAAAGCATGGAATATAATTTGCTCTAATTCTGTTCCCCCGTACTTCCCCTTTCCCTCCCCACCCCTCCCCCATTCCCTTCCATCTGCCCTACTGATCTTTCTGCTATTTGCTTATAGTTTTTTAAATTAGTGTCTTGTGGATATACATGATGGTAAGATTCACTGTGTTATATTCACATATGTTCATAGGAAAGTTAGATCAGATTCATTCCACTGTTCTTCCAAACTCTTAGTAAAGTTAACTCCCACAATAACAGTTTTCTTATAGGGCTTTGGTGAGTTTATTCAAAAAAGAGTACAAAGGACCATTCTTTCATCAGACATTGGTCCATATTTCTATTACCAGACTTTTCAACTCAGGATTTTCTCATTATGAGTAAAAAGTAAAGAAACAATCAACGCACCCCTTGTGTAGGCCTGTGGTTAGAGAAGATTGCTAGAGGAGGATTCAGTACTTTGCCTTCAGAGAAAGACAGGGAGCATGAGCCAAGTCTCCCTATAGACTTATCAGTAGGCCTACTTTGGGTATGGAAATTTCCACCATTAGGGTTGGTCCTTTGGGTAAGGCAGTGTTTAACTGAAATCCCCATTCAGTAATATATGATGTCATTAAAACTTCGTGGTGGATTATTTATAAATCTTCAGAGAAGGTCTCAAGGGAAATGTAAGAGATGCTTTTTGATGAAGTGAGAAGACCTTTCAAAGACACAAGAGAGAGGCCAGGGATAGAAGGGGCATTACCAGGGTGCCCTGGGGCCTCACAAAGGCCCTGAAGAGAGTGATGCTGATAGAGGAAAGGGACAACAGAAAAGGAAAGGAAGATAAGTGTCTGTGTCACATTGGTTGGTCATGTCTGCCTGTTCTTTCCAGAGATGACTCCAGTGTCATTTCTCTGAGAAGTTGCTGTACCCCAACATCACTATTGGGAGTAAGAACATGGTCACAGAAATCCTAGCCAGGAGTTTTATATGCTACAACAATGGCTAGGGCATAGTATCTAGCAAAGATGCACTTGGAGTTTGGTCCAGAAATCCTTCTGTGAATCAAAAGTGAATTACATGTGAATGGATTTGAAGTAATATATGCATAAGGTTTTTTATTCAACATTATTTGTACAAACAAATTTGGAAGCAATCCACACGTCAGTAGGGAATTGATTGAATAAATCATTGTATAACCACACAAGGACAATAAATCTGTCCTCAGCAGTAGCTATCCCAATGACATAGATCTGTATATTCTTTTTTTTTTTGTTTTGTACCAGGGATTAAACCTAGGGGCACTCAACCACTGAGCCACATCCCCAGCCCTTTTTTA